ATGGATCCCCCCCCACACACACACACTCAATGGTTCATTCTGCCATGTCCCTTCCTTAGTAAATTAGCTAGAATTCCGTGTATTTTACCTTAAGTCCTTCCAAAATTAATATTGAAGTATCTGCATATGTGAATAACCCCATAAATAAAGACAAAAAGAATCTATTCATGAATGAATATCTCCCTACCTGGTGAATTTGGCATTAAAACCTGACAATTTTAGCCAGGGGTGCTGGCGCACACCTTTAATCCCAGCACTTGGGAGGCAGAGGCAGGCAGGTCTCAGTGAATTCCAGGCCATCTGGTCTGCAAAGCAAGTTCCAGGACAGGATGGTAACACAGAAAAACCTTGTCTCAAAAAAAAAAAAAAAAACAAAAAAACCCACCTGCCCTGGCTGGGCGGTGGCGCACACCTTTAATCCCAGCACTCGGAAGGCAGAGCCAGGCGAATCTCTTTGAGTTCGAGGCCAGTCTGGTCTCCAAAGCGAGTTCCAGGAAAGGCGCAAAGCTACATAGAGAAACCCTGTCTCAAAAAACAAACAAACAAAAACACCATCTGCCCCAAATTGAAAAAAAAATGTTTGTTTACTTACTTATAAGTAAGCTTCTGTGTATATGTGTGCAGATGCCTGAAGGATCTCCTGGTGAGCCACTTATGTGGGTGCTGGGAACTAAATTCTGGGTCCTCTCCAAGAGCAATAACCACTCTTAACTGCTGATCCGTCTCTCTGGTCCCCAAGGTATGCTTTTTAATAAAATTGGCCTTTAATCTCAGCACTCGGGAGGCAGAGTCAGGCGGATCTTTGTGAGTTTGAGGCCAGCCTGGTCTACAGAGTGAGATCCAGGAAAGGCGCAAAGCTACACAGAGAAACCCTGTCTTGAAAAACAAACAAACAGCCGGTCGGTGGTGGCACACGCCTTTAATCCCAGCACTCGGGAGGCAGAGCCAGGCGGATCTCTGTGAGTTCGAGGCCAGCCTGGGCTACCAAGTGAGTCCCAGGAAAGGCGCAAAGCTACACAGAGAAACCCTGTCTCAAAAAAAAAAAAAAAATGGCAATTTGCATGCCATTATTCAACCATAGTTTGAAAGTTGCTGACATGTGACTAATATTTACAGCTTGGTCGAACAGAATAAAAGTACTGTGGCTTCAGCATTGATACAAGTTGCCACCTCTTCTGTTTATTGTATAAGGTGCTCACTACTACAGTATTTTGGTAATAAATTAAAGCATATTAACATACCCAAAGGGTGTATTTCTATTAAGTGCTAAGTGGCCTATATAAGAAAAGTCTTCATGATATCTGGGAGAACATATGTGAAAACAGGTAAATAGCAGAAATAGCCAAACCACGCTGATTTGCTGGTAAATTGCAGATTCGACTTAAGCCCTTGAACAGATAAATATACGTGTTTTTGGATTTGATTCCAGCTGTTTTAAATGGTGATGCTTAATGATATATTTGTAACAGTTTATTCTGGCTCTTATTCATTTAGTAAACATCAGCTGAATACCTGATATGTATTGGGCATTGTTCTAGGTGCCTGGAGCAGACACATCAAGGAATAAAAGATAAACTTTTTCTTTCCCTTCACAGAATTTCAATTTGTGCTGCAACATCAGCAGGTCAGGATTTAATAAGCATTTAAAATTGTGATATTTTCTTTTTATTGTTATTAGAAAATAAAAACATTTTTTTTTCTTTTTTCTTTTCCAGAGCTGAGGACCGAACCCAGGGCCTTGCACTTGCTAGGCAAGCACTGTACCACTGAGCTAAATCCCCAACCCCTATAAACATTGTTTATTTTATGTGTATGGGTGTTTTGCCTGCATGTATGCCTGTGTACTGCGTATGTACAGTGAATCCAGAAGAGAGTGTCAGATTCCTGGGAACTGGAGTGACAGATGGTTGTAAGCCAACTTGTGAGTGCTGGCAATTGGACCCTTGTCCGCTGGAAAAGCAGCCAGTGCTATTAAGTGCTCAGCCATCTCTCCAGCCCTGGGAAATACATCTTATATTTTTTTCATTTTTCATGGTGTTTGTGTGTGTGGTGAGCATATGCCTTTCTGTTCCAATGAGTGTGAGTGCACATGTGTGTGCATATGAATGTCCGAAATGGTTGTGTGGAGTCTTCCTTGATCACTCCCCGCCTTGCTTACTGAGGCCGTGTATCTCAACTGAACCCACAGTTCATCAATGTGTCTAGTGTAGCCAGTCAGCTTGCTTCATGGATTCCTTGTCTTGGTCTTCCTAGTGCTGGAGTTATGGCAGGCTGCTGTGCCCACCCAGCATTTATGTAGATTCTGGGGACCTAACTCTGATCCTTATACTTTCTGCTTAGGACTTTAACCAGGGAGCCATCTTCCTAGCCCACTTTTTAAATATTTTAATTAAAACATACTAATCGTATGTATGTAGGAAGTCCAGCATGACATTTTAATACGTACATACAATATATGGTGATCAGATCAAGGTAAATATGTATTCTTTCTTTGCATTATGAACATTAAAAATTCTTTTTAAAGTCAGATATGTTTTTATTAGTTCTTTGAGAGTTTCATATAATATGTTTTGGTCAAAATCACCTCCTGCAAGTCTTTCCAGATCTATCTCCCCTTTCCTTACAGTGGCAGTATTGTGGTGGTTTGAATAAAAATGTCCCCCATAGGTCCATAGGGAGTGGCACTATTAGGAGGTGTGGCCTTGTTGGAGTAGGTGTGGCTTTATTGGAGGAAGTGTGTTAGTAGGGGTGGTCTTTAAGGTCTCAGAAGCTCAAGCCAGTTCTCTTCCTGCTGCCTGCCTATCCAGACGCAGAACCCTTAGCTCCTTCTCCAGCACCATGTCTGCCTGCATGCTGTCACAATACCCACCATGATGACAATGGACTAAACCTCTGAACTGTAAGCCAGCCCCAGTTAAATGTTTTTCTTTTATAAGAGTTGCCATGGTCATGGTGTCTCTTCCCAGCAATAGAAACCCATACGCTAAGACACTTACTTATTCAACTTTGTGCCTTTTTAAACCCATTAAGAGCAAGTTGTGCTGATCAAATATTCTTGGATCTGTGGCCTTCCACTAGAGAACAGTTAATTTACCAGGGGCTAAACTCTTAGAGAAAACTGTCTCTTCCTCTCCTAACAGCTAATGGTTGCCCATAGCTCCACAGTCATGGGTGGTATTTCCTTCCCAGTTTCTATCTCCATGCTGTGGTTTGGTCTGGCCTGGGCTTGCACAGCTTTGGTGCATGCTGCTCCAACTACTAAGAGTTCATATGTGTAGCTGTCCTGATATGTCCAAAAGATACTCTTTCCTTGTGGTCATCCATTGCCTTTGGCTCTTGCACTTTTTCTGCTCCCTCTTTTACAATAACCCCTTAGTCTTGGGAGAAGAGGGCGTGGCTTATATGTTCACTTTAGGGTTGAGTGTTCTGCAGTCTCTTATTCTTTGCACCTTGGCCAGTTGTGGTCACTGTGCTAATCACCATCTAGTGCAAATAGAGGGTTGAGCAATGCATTGATCTTTGTTTATAATGAAACTTCGTAAGGCGTCAGTTTGATGATAGTTTAGCAAAGTAATAGTAGTAGGTACTCCCCTAGGGACCATCACCTGCCAAGTATGGGTTTCATGTTGTGGAGTGGGAGGGATTTAAATCCAGTTAGGAAGAGGCTGGTTACTCCCCTGATGTTCATGCCACGATTGCACCAGTGAGCATGTCTTGCCAGGTCAGTCATTTTTTTTTTTTTTTTTTAGCTCTCAGGGTTCACAACTGGATGTGATTGATGGTTAATCTTCTCCTCTAGAAGTGTACACCTGTGGTTTTGTGTTCCCCCAAACATTGTGTACCCTAATAAATTTATCTGGGATCAGAGAATAGACAGCCACTAGATACAAAGGCTAGAAAATGGTGGCACTCACACCTTTAATCCTAGCATTCCAGAGATAGAAATCCCTCTGGATCTCTGTGAATTCAAGGCCACACTGGAAACAGCCAAGCATGGTGACACATGCCTTTAATCCCAGGAAGCAAGCCTTTAATCCTAGGGAGTGATGGTAGAAAGCAGAAAGGTATATAAGGCGTGAGGACCAGAAACTAGAAACATTTTGTCCTGGTTAAGCATGTGGCTGGTTAAGCTTTCAGGCTTTTGAGCAGCACAGTTCAGCAGAGAGCCATTCTGGATGAAGACTCAGAGGCCTTCAGTCTGAGGAGACAAGACCAGCTGAGGATCCGGCGAGGTGAGATAGCTGTGGCTTGTTCTGTCTCTCTAACCTTCCAGTATTCACCCCAATAACTGGCCTCGGGTTTGATTTTATTAATAAGAACTTTTAAGATTCCTGCTACATACACCTTCCATCTCAATGAAAGCTAGCCAGTAGAAATGAAACTTCCTGACCAGTGCCAGCCTGATCTCTTCATTTTCTATGTAGTTTCTTTAGCAGTAGGGTCTTACCAAAAGCAACGGCAATAGCCTGTAATATTTTGGGAGTCTATGGGACCTCATTGGCCAACAATTTCAAAAAAAAGTAGTCCATTCCTGGCACTGGACTTGTTTGTTAGCTTCTGGTGTCTAGTAGAGGCATTGTTATCTTGTTATAGGATAACTCTATTTTGACTCCCCCTTTCTTTCTCTG